AATTCAAAAGTTATTTTTGATGAAAGGTATAATTTTTATTTAATTATTTTTTTTCATACCGTAATAATAATAATTATTATTTTAATAAGTTTTACATTTTCTGTATGAAAATGACTTCCGGCAGTCACAACAACAACAACAACAAACGATATAAACAAATTTGTTTTTTCCTTTTTTTTTTTTTTTAATATTATAACTTTCAAAATAACTTTTGAACGTTTTTAATACCAATAATTTTTTTTTTTTTTTTTTTAAATTCTCAGGTTGCTTTCTCTTACTCAATTTTTTTTTTGGCTCACCACTAACCTTCTTTAAACATTACAGGTTGAGCAAGGTGATGCAGGTATTGATCAATACGTCTTTTTTTTAAATCAGGTTATTTCAAATATCACACATTGTTCTTCAAATAAAACTTTAATAATTATTTTCAATTAAAATTTTAATTCCGTTCTGATTCCGCCAACGTTTAACAGAAATTAAAAAAAAATAATAATAATAATAATTTAAATAATTATTTTAGAAAGTAATGACTTTTGTAAAATAAAACTAAAAACCATTTTAAAAAATTTATACCGAATTAAAATAGATTCATAATCATAATAATTATTAAAAAAAAATAGTAACGCCTTTTTTAATTCCTTTCAAATCAAAAATTTCCCATCAAAATAAAAAAAAAAAAACACGATGGTCAGCAAAACATCAACAAAATAATAATAATAATAATAATCTTTCTTAAATTCTAACCGAGATATTAAAAATTTAACGTTTAGACCTTGATTTTTGGAGGACTACAACAATTCTCGAAAGTAGAAAAAAAAACGAATCATATAAATTTTCCTTGGAAAATTCTAATTTTTTTTTTTTGAGGAAAAAATAAAAAATTAATTAATAGTTTTTGTACATAAAATGTTCGAATCTTCTTAATTAATAATGAAAAAATTATGATTTATTTTAATATTCATGTTATGTAATTTTGATTGTGCTAATTATGTGAGCTTTCGATATACCTTACATATACGTTCACTTGTTAACTCGTTATAATTTTTTTTTTTTTTTACATCGAGACATTTTTGTTGCAAAATACTAATTACGTGACTCATAATGTTTTTTTTTTTTTTTTAAATTAATTTGATTTACTTAAAGTGACGGTCTTGAGAGTCTGGAGAGAGACAGAGAAAGAGAAAGGAAAAGTATATTACATTACTAGAATGAAATAAAAGGAACCTGATTCACACTCACTTGCATTCAAGTATCACTTAAAATGAATGATTATGCTCCTTTAACTTTTAAAAATAAATCGTGAGAATCTTTAAGATTAAAAATAAAGGTAATATTACATAACAATATTTATGTTTGTAATAATAATAATAATAATAATAAAACATCAAGTCATTATTTCAAACAATTTGTTTAAAATGTATAATATGTATTGACATTAATTAAATTGTTGACTTTCATTATGAATATTATTGAATTACTTATGTAAAAATCATTTTATACTGTTTTTATATTGTTGTTAAACTTCATTAGAGAGAAAATTTACTCAGCATTCATGCAATCAATTGTAAAATCATATAAAATTAAAACTATGAAGTTTCTTATTAAAAATCTGATGCCATTTTCATTATTCACAAAGGTGAAAAATTTTTTTTTTTTTTTTTAAATTAACTTTGAGTTTTAAGTAATTTATATACTTTTAACGTTATTTAAACAAATTGTATACTATTTACTATTATTATAAATATGAAAACCGTTAAAAAATATGTGAATAAATTTGTTAAAATGAAAAAGTAAAGAAGTGAAATTACACAAACTAAAATAACCAAGATCAAAATCATTTTAATTAATTAGATTATATGGATTAAAACATTTAAAATTTTAACAGAATAAGTCATCATGTTTGAATAATAAAAATAATTTTAAGCATCCCTTAAATTTTATAAAAACTTGAGAGTTAATTTCAAAAGGAAGCCATATTGGAAAAAAAATTTCATCATTTCCAATATTTAAAGTTCATGGATAAATTTATGTTTTATAAGTAAAAAAATGTATGAAATATGTTTAAGTATGGATTAACGTTTAGGAAAAACAAAAAATGTTCTTACCTTAAATAAAAAATCAAATAAATAATCCAAAAAATAAAACTTCCATTCCACGAACCACTAACTGTATCAAAAATTTTAACCGAACTAACGGTTACCAAATGAGAAAAAAAAAAAAAAAACAAAATGGCGCGCGTTTTCAACTGTGTTGCGCGCCTCTTTGAATACCAAACAATACTAACCGACTGACTGGAATTAAAATAACAAGAAAGAAAAATTTTTTTTTGGTGGGAGACATGATTATGTCCGGTTCTTAGTAAAATAAAATTATTTATAAGTATTTTCAAAAGATAATGGTAGACTAATAAATTTGATTCATCAGTAACTTGTTTACTTTTTTTTTTTTTGGTTTTGATTTTGTTTGACTAATTTCATTTTAGTTGATAATTAATATGAATTAATTTTTTCTGGAACTTCAATCATTATAAATTTATTTGGAAATTAGATACAGTTTAATAAAAAAAAATTGTTTTTCTTTTAATCAAATTTTTATTATATTAAAAACATTTCCTGATACTTTGTTAACAATAGAAAAAAAAAATTATATTAATTAAAATCTTATTACTTCCTATTCTTAAATTGTATGTATAAAAAAATTCACATGAAATTATTATTATTATTATAACAAATTTAAATTAATAAACTTTTTTATAAAAAACTTTGTATAATTTGTATATTAATTAAAATGATTATTATTTTTAGTAATATTTTTTACAAGTGTAACTAAAAAATAAAAAAAAAAATTAGAAAGCAGAACTAATTTAAATTTAAATTTAAATTTGAATTAAAAAAAAAAAAACCATTAATCAGGCAAAAGAAAATAGAAAAAAAAAAAAAAAATTTTTTTTAAATGCATCGTTGCTGTTAGAAAAAGGAAAAAAATTATTTACTTAATAAATCATTAATAATTATTTTTTTGAAAATATGTATGTGTTAATAATAACAATTATTATTATTATTTTTAATTAATAAAGTTAATATTCATTTGTCAAAATCAGTATTTTTTTTTTAATTGAAAAACAAACAAAAATTATTTTAAGTTAATTTTTTAAAAAATTTTTCATTGTAAAATTAAAATACAAAAACAAATTTTATTTTTTTAAGATATTAAATTGTAATATTTTTATTTTAAAATTAAAAACAATAAAAATTTATTTAGAATTATTACATTTTTAATTTATTTCTAGTTATTTTTGATAAAATTTTTTTTTTCTGATAAAAACTTTAAAAATGAATATTACGAAGTCGAATCAATCAATCAATCAATTTTTTTTAAATTGATGAGTAAGAAAATATGAAAAAATAATTTTTTTTAAACAAGTAAATCATATTAAATCATACACGCGACCTTGACACTTAATAATAAACAACAATAAACAAATAAATTTTTTATTTATTTAAATAATCTTTCAATATTTTCATGATGAAATTTTAATGATAGTGAAAATAAAACTTGGCAAATAATTTAATTTAGATGGCAAAGTGACAATTTTTTAAAAAATTTAATGTATATTAAATAACTTCCCTAATTTAAATTTTATGAGCTAATTATAATTACGCCAACACAAAAAATTTAATTATTTGATAATTGTTATTTACTTTTTTTTATTTTCTTGATTGTCACGTTGAAAAAAAAAATCGCAAGCATGTTAATTTTACGCATAATTTAATATTCATTTGTTGATTTTATTATTTTGAAAAATTCAATAATTAAACCAACGAACAACATTTTTCTTCACCTTCGCAATTCAAAGCTTGAGTTATAATTAATTTATCCGAACATGTCTTCATGCATTGGCCACCGAGACCAGAACAAGATGTTTCGGAGCGTGACACTGAAAAAAATAAAATAATGATGATTTTTATTATAAAAAAAATTAATATTTTATTTATTTGTACTTACAACCAAGGCAACAAACTGCTCCTTTGTCTTCTTGTTGCGGACATGATCCTGCAGTACTAATTTTTTCAGATTCGCAATCATTTTTATCTATGCAAATCCCTCCGACATTACTGCAACTGTTTTCCGGTAAAAATTTTGGAGTTTTTTCTCCTGCAATTGAATTATAATCAATTTAAATATTTTAATTATGTTAATTAATTTTAAATAAATAAATATTCGACGATAATAAAATAAGGTCAATGAAAACTACATTTTTAATTTTTTTTTTTTTAAGTACCAAAAAAAAATTTTAAATGTTTTTTGCCATGCACAAAAATTTTTACAACAAATCAGTAGTAAAATAACAAAAAAAAATCGATTAAAATTTAAAAAACTATATAATGTATAACTTTCTAATACAACAAATTGCCAAAAAAGCTTATTTTATTGATAGCAATAAATTATTTTTAAAAAAAATTATTCAAAAGAAAGTTTATTCATATTGGCAATAATTATAAAACTCTATAAAAAATGAAATTTTTTTTTCTTTAATAAAAAACCTTCCTTTTGAAAATTAATAAAATAATTTATATATTAATATAAAAACTTGCCATTTTCTTCGACTCCTTTTACAATCAATATGTTGCACGTTGCAATCAAAAAAAGCACACAATTCCACTTCATTTTTTCTAATATAACACACTCCTTCGAATACTTCTTTATAAATGCGCGTTTGTGATTATATCAAACAAATAAAAGTCATAAAAATTTACGTAATATTTAAGAGTTCCATATATATATATATATACATAAAATTTTTTTTTTTTTTCGTTAACATGAAAATCAATTAATTTAAGTAAACTTAAATATTCCATTTGTTTGTTTGTTTTCTTTTACGTAAATTTTTACTTTCACAATAGGCTTTGTATACATGTCATTACAAAAAAAAAAATAATAGTGAAAGCTTTGACGATAGAAAAATCATTTAATTTTGACAGTCTTGCGAAATAAAAATAAAAAATTGGTTACAAAAAAAAAAAAAAAAAGGCTGTAGCAATTGACCTGTATGCACAACCTTGATCTCCCGAGTGAAATTTAGAACACATTTGATGATTAAAAAAAATTAATTGTTATTTTTTGTAACATACGATAATTCTAAAAATTAAAATTACATTTAAAAAATGACATCAATTTGTTATTTATAAATAAATACTTTCTAAGATTTACAACTTACTGGGAAGATTATTTATAATTGCATCGTTATATTTCATTTCATTTAATTTGAAGTAAAATTTCATATCAAAAACTCCACGAAAAATATCACTTTGCATATTTGGCCGTGAAAACTTTGAGTCCTTTTACGTTGGTGCATCTCGCAAATTTAGTAAGCAAGGAATTAACATTTGCTGTTTTTGTTGTTAATTTTCTAAAATCATAAAAGATAATAAATTTAAAATTATTGTTAATTATTAATAATTAAGTTTGAGTTATAAGTAAATGATTTTACTGAATGTATGGAGTTATTTCTTCTAAAGTCCATTTTTCTTTATTTTTAAAAAGAAGTCTAAATCTTTCAGGTATATTCTCAGGTAAATCTTCTTCCAAAAATAAATGAATAACTTTATTTAATTCACTCTCATTATCAATTAAAGCTAATCCTTTTAAATAATTTAAATTTGGTTTTATTACTGAAAAAAAAAAAAAAATTAATAAATATTATTTTAATATAAATAAATACTTATTTGTATTAGAATTTATATGTACCTTTAAACATAATTTTTTATTCCAGTTGGTTAATTTTGGCAACTTTTTACAGAATGAATTTTTTTTTTTTTTAATAAGAATTACACATACCTGGACTTAAACAATTTTCCCAAGCCATAATAAATTCATCGAAACTAAATTTTCCTTCTGCTGTTTGTAACAAAACTTGAGCAAAACATCTGCTAATCAAATATTCATCAAGTTCTAACCATATTTGATCTGAAATTAATGATGTATAATAAAATTTAATTAGGTTTTTGTAAAGTTAAAGAAAAACTTTTAATATTTTTTAAAAAACTCATTTATTATAAAATTTACCTTTGACATAGTTTTTCGAGTAATGTTTAAAAACATGTTCCAATATTACATCTGGCACAAATAAGTCTAAATTTTTTTTGCATTCTAATACATGGATTTTGGTCCAGTTATTCTTTTCCATTTCAGACATAAGATGAGAAAAGATTTCAACTAAATAATCTAAACTTAGAAGTCTCCATTTGTCTTAAAATAAATTATTATAAATGTAAAATAATAAATCATTATTTGAGTAAACAATGTACTCCTATTTCTTAATAAAAGTTATTTTTTAAAATACCTTCCAATTTAATTGCCTTAATTTCTTCCAGTTGAGCTAAAAGTTCAGATCTACTACATTGAACATTATCTAATAATTCACAGAAATAAAACCCTTTATGACTTTCTTCATCCTTGAAAGGAAAATATGAAAAAGCATTGAAAATAAAATAAAAGGATAAATATAGCATTGAAAATAAAATTTAATTTACGTTGTCTGGCCCAGAATAATTTGCTTGGGAAAGTATTGATTTCAATTTGCCAAATCTAGGAAATGTAGGCCTAAATTCTAAATAACTGTGCTGAACTCCAAAAATCTACACAAAAATATTTTTAGCTGCTTGTGTCTAGAAATTATTGATTCATTTAAAATTAATTTTATTTATAAGTTTTAAAATTTTACCTTTTGTTCAGTTAATGTTCTCTCATTTTTTTCTGAATTTTTAACGTCTGAACCAAACAATAAATTTGGACATACTAATAATGAGTTTGATATTTCTCCTTCTTTGACTTCGTAGGTTTCATTCTCAGTGCATAAAACTACTTTTTCGTCATTGCTGCCTTTGAAAATCAGTCTAAAAGATTAATAAAAATTATGAAAATATAAACATTTTAAATTAAAAGTTTAAAAATAATATACCTTTCTCCACTTTCTAACTTTTTAATAAGTTCTTCGTCAATTTGCATTAACTTAAAATTTTCTTTATTTTCGCTACATTTTATTTCGGACGGATAGTAAAAAATTTGAGTTAATAAATGCACATCCTCATCATTTTGTTTTGCTTGAACAAGCATGTGCGACACATCATCTATACTTCTCTGATAAAACTCACTAAAATTAATGAAGCAATTTTACCGCCATATTATTAACCTCACTTGGTTGTTAAAAAATTTTTTTGTAATAAAGATAAGTTTAATTAAAAATAATATTCAAGAAAATTTTATAAAAATTTGAACTTACGTCATTACTAAAATAAATTAAAAATATTTCATTGACTATTGACAGAAAATATTGATTTTAACTTTAATTTACTTTTATTAAATTAAGAGCGGAAAATTAAAGCTCGTAAAATGTCTAAAAAACCAATGACATGTCTCTTTTCGCATATTTAACCGGAAGTAGTTACCACTGTTTTATATTTGAAAATAAAGTTAATTAATATATATATATATTTCATTTTGATTTTAAAAAGGTTTTTTTCAAGCTCTTTAAAACCGATTACTGCAAATTGAATAACTTCTGGCAAAAAAAAAAATATGAAATTTGAAATTTGAAATTCAATTTGACTTTTTCTTTACGTCACATCGCAGCCATGTCTAAAATGACGCATGCGTGAATAAAAGTATATTGGTGCGGATTTGCCATTTTTTATATTTTCTTTGTAACATAGAAAAAAAGAAATTTGTTATAAAGAATTTAACCTGCTAATAAGCAATGGAAAGGCCAAAGCAAGTCTTAATAATAGAACCTTCCAGTGAATTACGATTTCCAGGTGAGTAAAATAATAAGCATCAATTTCTAATTAGTCATTTTTCATTGGCCAAGCCTTTTGATTTCCTGAAGAGCCTAAGCTGTCGATATTGTAAAAAAATTTTAAATTACAACTTTTTATTAAGAAACCAATATGTAAAAAAACTCAGTTTTTAGCTCCTTAAATCAAAAAATTAAATTTTAGAGTAAATCAATTTTGAAACCTTATGTGACATTGAATTGTTTCTATTTTGTAAATTGCTTCCTCATGTAAAACATTAAATACTTATCGTTTACAAAAATAAAATTCTATGTTGAATTTTCGGTCTTGACTAATACATGATAATTAATATTAACAATAAAATATCTGCTTAATTGTTAAATATAGATTATTTTTCCTTTACAATTATTTGTGTTAAATTTACAAGCCTTTTTACATCACTCCTCCAAAATTTAAAGTTTTATTTAATTAGGCTTAATTTTTTAATTCTTAAATCCTATTTTCTTAAGAGTGTCTTAGCTATAAGTTGATATATTTTTGACATTTAAATGTCTATTTATTGCTTTTTTTCCAAAAGCATGTTTTTAAAATAAAATTAAATAAAATTTAAAATTGTATTGAATTTTTATTTTTAAAAAAGTATTTTTTGATGTATAAGTATGACTGTATATAAGTATATTTTTATTTATGTAAATATAACTTAAATAATTTCCTCACAATTTTCAAAGTGTAAAAATATTCATTTATAAATATATTTCAGGTCCCTATACTAGCCCTGTTACATCTTTCATGAAACTGACTAATCCAATTGATAAAAAAGTATGTTTCAAAATAAAAACAACAGTACCGAAAAAATACTGTGTTAGACCTAATTCAGGAGTATTGGACCCACATAGTAAGATAGACATAGCAGGTCAGTTTAAAAATTAATTCATTTAATAATTTTTTTTTTTTTTTTTTTTTATTACCATTATTACTCTTTAATGTGATTTAAATAATACATATTATTTTTTTAGTAAGTCTTCAATCTTTCGATTTCGATCCCAATGAAAAAAAACACAAATTTATGGTTTTGACTACAATCGCTCCAGAAGGTTTAAATTATGAACATAATTTTGTAAGTTATTATTAAATATTTTTATTTTATCATTTTAAATTTACCATTTTTTTTTTTAAAATCATAATTTTAAATTATTTTCACAGTGGAATGATGTAAAGCCTGAATGTCTTATGGATTCAAAATTGAAATGTGTATTTGATGTACCTAATCAAAACAGTGAAACAAATGGTGATACTGTGGATGACACTGTCATCGCACAAGAAAAAGTTAAAAAAACTGAGGCAAAACCACCCTATAAGGTGAGTAAAACTCTTGCAAGAATTTTTGATAAAAAATTAATGTTTAAAATCTTATCCTAATCTTTCTATACTTACAACAACAACAACAACAAAAATGTTAATAACGAATTGATAAATGTTTAAATTATCAACAGTCAAAAATTAATAATAAAATTTTATTTTTAGATTTTTATAATTAATTATAGGTTTTTATAAAATATAAATTTTTTTTTTTTTTTTCAGTCTGCTTCTGACTTTTCTTCGGAGTCAGTTAAAGCACCATCAGATGTAAAAAATTTAAAAATGGAAGAGAGTAGTTTACGTCAAGAAAACGTGGAACTTAAGGTAGAATTATTATTATTATTATTATTTTTTTTTTTTTTGTAACAATAATTTTCCAACGACTATTTCATATAAATTTTATTTTATATTTAATTATTAATATTATTTTTACCATAAATTTTTTTACCATGAATGTGATTTACGATCGAACTTTGAATTATGTAATTACCTCCTATTAACAATTTTAATACATCTCTCGGATTTAAAACGAGTTAATAATAATAATAATAATAATAATAATAAAATTTTTTTATTAAAAGTAAGTAGTAATACACAATTTTAAAAATCGGAAATAAATATATATAAATTGATACGAAAATCACGTTTAATTGCAATTAAAATGTTAATTGAAATGACCTGATATCGTAAATTTCTTAGTTAAAGAGGAAAAAGTGAGAGAGAGAGAGAGAGAGAGAGAGAGAGAGAGAGAGAGAGAGAGAAATGTTTTATAAGAATAATGTTTGAGTGTTTGTTATTTTTTACAAAGTTATAGCTTAATGATAACACAACAGTAAAAAAAAAAAAAAATTCCGACTTCCTTAACAATATTATTATTATTATTATTTAATATTCATTTTAAAAAATAATTTGTTTATTTTTTTTTTTTTTTATTGTTTAAGCTCGATATCGAAAGTCAATGAATTTTATGTTTTTTTTTTTTTTTTTACATGTCATGCAAAACTTTATTAATTAAATTATTTATTGATTTTTTTTTTTTTTTTTTTTTTGTTATTTCTTCGGTCGACTTAGCATAGTAGTTAGTTAGTTTTCCGAGAAAAGTTTGTGATTTTTTTTTCTCTGAGGGGGATTGACCCGGAAAATATAATCCTTTTTTTTTTTTTTTTTAAATTTTTTAGGAAGAGATAATGAGGCTAAAGCTTTTAATGCCAAATGAATCTGAAAACGTACATCCCTCCTCTCTTGGACTACACGAAAATAATCCATCATTGAAGAGAATTTATATAGTATTAGCAGCAATAATGGGAGTAATCGGATTCTTATTTGGCAAGTTTCTTTTCTGAATATTTGGATTTATATTAAAAAAAAAAAAAAAAAAAAAAAAAAACCCTCCCTCCCCCCCTGTATCATTCATTCTATTACTTTACTTATTTAATTGATAAAAAAAAATTTTAAGTGTATATTTTTTAAATTGATGAAACTATTTTTTTCTTTTTCTTTCCTTTCACGTTTTCAAATTTTTTTTTTTTTTTTTTAAAAAAAAAAAAAATAATAAATTTTTAAGTAATAGGAATATATAAAAAAAAAAAAAAAAAAAAAAGTCCCGTTAAGGGATTCTTCTTCATTTTTCGGTTTTCACATATATATACATATATGTATTTATGTATTATGTATATACATACATATATAAATATTTATATACATTTTTGTTTTTTTTTTTTTTTTATTGAGAATTCACGGTATTTAACATTCTAAAGGCTGTGACGGGTAGGATTTGCTTGAGAGGCGATGTTTCATGGCCTTTTTTTTTTTTGGTTTGGTTTGGGGGCGGGGGGTAAACAAAAAAAATTTTTTTTTCTTAATTCCAACAAAAAATATGAACCGGAATTTATTATTATTATTATCAGAACAAAAATAAATGAAAAAAAATAAATAAATAAATAAATAAATCATTCAGAAAAATTAATTTTTGTTTTTAATCCCATTATTAATAAATAAATATAATAGTAGTAGTAGTAGTAGTAGTAATTATTATTATTATTATTATTATTATTATTAATAATAATAAAATTCGTTGAAATTTTTTTTTTATGTTAAATTTAAATTTTTTGACAATTTCACTCGGATTAAGGTGAATAATAATAATTTAGTTGTTGTTTTGTTTTTTTTTTTTTTTGTTGTTGTTTTTTTCCAAAAAAAAAAAAAAAAAAATTTGACTCCCTTAATAATAATAATAATAATAATAATTTTTGCTCATATTTATTGTTTGTCTATAATTAAATTTTTTTCATCAAATTAAATTTTTTTCAATGTTTTTTTTCTAAAATATTTTTTTTTTTTGTTAAATATGTTTATTATTGAAAATTGTGTAAAATAAAAAAATTTTTTTTTTTTCGGTTCCTTTTGTAAATTCAGTTTTGTTAATTTGTGTACTTATATGTATTTATACAGGTACATATTTATTCCTGTAAAATTTACAGGTTCGACCACGTATAAAAAAAAAAAAAAAATATGCACCATGAGTAGTAAGAGAGTCTTAAGTAAAACTAAATTCACATAATTATTTCATTTTGCTTGTTTTTTTTTTTTTTGTCATTTAATATATGTAGAGGTTCAAGGTTCAAAGTACGGAATTTATTTTAATTATGAGTTGTTCATAGGTTAAACGTTAGTAATCGTTATTGAACGTACCTGATAATAATAATGTTTAAAAGTAAAGAAAGAAAGAAAGAAAAAAAAAAAGAAAAAAATACATCTAGCCATCAGATTTATTTAAATGTTCATTTATGTTAATAAAAATTTTTAAAAAAATTTTGCCAGTTAAAATTTAATTGTGGTAAATAGTAATAATAATAATAATAATTGTCATTCAATCATTTAAAAAATTTTTTTTATTTAATATATAAGTCCAAAGTTTATATGAGTATAAAAAATAAACAAATAACATTAAAATTAAAGTAAAATCAATTTAATAGTCCGATGGATGATGATAATAATAATATTCCTTATACGGGCTCAAAGGTATACAAAAAGGTTATGAGGAGTGTAAACAAATAAACCCATTTTTTTTTTTAAATCATTAAAATAAAATAATAATAATAATAGTTTTATAATTAATTGTAATTAAGGTCTTTATTAAATGTTATTATTATATAATCTGCACTCGTTTATTAAAGTGAAAAAGAAAAATTGGGAAAAAAAAAATTAAAAAAAAATAATAAAAAGAAAATTTAATAAAAATAAATAAATAATAATAATAATAGCTTTCGGTTACCAATAGTAAAAAAAAAATACAAAGAAAAGAAAAGAAAAAGAAAAAGAAAAAATTTATTTTATTTTATTTTATTTTTTTGTCATATTAATTTAAGGTACGTTAATTGAGTCATTAGTAATCATTATTATTATTATTATTATAGATGATTAATTGATTTAAATTAATTAATTTTAATTTAATTAATTAAATTTTTATTTACCATCATTCTTCCAGGTATAAGAAAAAAAATCATAATTTCATTTTGTAACGTAACCAATTTTTTTTTAATTTATTTTTTTTATAAATTTTTGAAAGAAAAAAAAAATAAATAAATAAAACGTTCAGACTCAATTAATTGTAAAAAAAATAAATAATAATAATAATATTAATTAAAATAAATGTTATAAAAAATTAGTTATTGTTGATTTAATCATACAACGTGAAAACATAATAATTATAATTATTTTAATTAATAGTCTATAGTTAGATTATTATTATTATTATTCTATTTTATTTATTTGTCATTAATTTAACCGTCTACATATAAATTTAGAAGAAGAAGAAGAAGAAGATGAGAAAATAAATAATTAAATTAAATAAATAAATAATTATTATTCGAATGCATCGCACGTTTAATAAAAATAAAAAATAATTGAAATAATAATAATTGCTTAAAAGATTGTGAAGAGTTGGGTACTTACATCATTTATATAAATATAATATAATATATAATATATTTATATAAATAAGTTAAACATAATTAATTTTTTTTTTTTTTAATAGAAAAAATTTTTTACGGTCGAAAAAGAAAAAAAATTTTTTTTTATTTAGAATTGTTAAAACTATTATTAAATTCTAGCCCATTATTTGTATGATAATGAGAGAGAAAGAGAGAGAGAGAGAGAGAGAGAGTGAAAATTTTTTGCCATATATCTCGCTTTGAAAATTTTTGCCTTATTCCCCCACTACTACCACCTTCCCTCCCTACTTAAATTCGGGAGCTTTTTAATAAAAAAAAAAATTATCATAGTGGTTCTCGAAATTTATTTATTTATTTATTATTATTATTATTATTATTATTCCATTATATAATTATTATTTAAAAAATTGTTTTCGTCATTAAATAAATAAATAAATAAATAAAAATAATGTGTAGTGTGCCTGAATATACTATAAATAGGAAAACCAATTTTTTTTTTTTTTATGTAGTTAAATAAAAAGGAAATGATTATTAAAAATTATTATTATTATTAATTAATTATTTATTAACTATTTTTTTTAGTTTTGTTCTAATTGTTTTTACATGTTATTATTATTATTACTCAAATATTGTTGGAAAACCGGTACAAACAAAAAAAAAAAGGAACAAATATAAGGTAAAATTAAAAAATATTTAAAAAGCCTTAGCTTTTATTATTATTATTATTATTATTATTATTATTAATAAATAAATTGTTATTTGAATTGTTAGTATGTTTTCAAGGGTTTTTTTTTTAATATGATAAAAAAAAAAAAAAAATAAAGTGATAGTAGGTTTAAATATATCTTTTATTTATTCCTTAAATGATGTAAGAGAGTGAAAAAACATAATTATGTTGTTAAAATATGTTTAAAACATAATAATAATAATTTTTTTTTTTGTATTGTTTTTGTTTCTTTTGTGTTATTAAATTTAGCGCAAATTTAAATTTAAAAAAAAAAAAAAAACAAAACAAAACAAAGCAAAACATTACATAATAAAAAAAAAAATTAATAATTTATCTGTTAGTTTTATATACTTATGTAGTTAACATAAAATTATTATTATTAAATTTTTTCTTGCCTTTTTCTTTTCTTTTTTTTTATCGTTATTTGTTCCTAAAAAAAAAAAAAACTAAATGTGCGTGACATTAAAAAAAAAAAAGCAAAGAAAAGAAAAAAAAACAATAAAATTTTAGTTTTTCTATTTTTTTTTAATTATGAGTCCTTGACATGATGACAATCCAATATAACATCGTTACCTTGCGTTGTAAAAAAAAAAAAAAATCGGAAAATTAATCGTCTTTAAAGGAAGTTTAAACTTTTTTTTTCCCTACTATTATTTAAATAATAATAATAATAATCGATTGGTTTTATGATAAATTAATTTTTTTTATATATTTACTTTTATTATTATTATTAACAAAATCCTCTAATTTAATTATGTATATTTATTTAGTTTTTAATAATTTAAGTTTAAGTAAAATTAGAACGGTATCATTCCAAATTTTTTTACAAATTCTATCAGGGGTAGGTAGGCAAAAGACCTCCTGGAAGAATCTGATACATTAGTAGATAATAATATTTAGAAGGTAATTTTTTTTTTTTTTTAATATTTCCTCAAATATTATTCCTTTAAAAATTAAAAAAAAAAATTTTTTAACGTTTATAATTATTATTGTCACTTAAATTTATTAATTTTTAGTAAAAAAAAAATAAATAAATTCTCTTTTTAACGAAAATTATAGCAAAATATTTTATACATAAAAAAAATTAAAATAAGTATTGCTGATTGAATGAATAAAAATATAATAAAACTTAAATATAAAAAATTTTTCTTGTAATTTATTCGTAAATTATTATTTTACACAAACAAACACCGATAATTATTATTATTTTTTTGTTTGTTATTTAAAAAAAAAAAAAAAAAAAAAACGTATAAATAAATAAAAGCGTTAATATAACGAAGTAAATTTTAATTATTTTTATTATTTATTTTTAAAGCATTTAAAATATCCTTAAATATTATTTAAAATATGTTCAAACGTGAGCCATCATTTGAAGTATTATTAAAAAATAATTTAATTTTTATTTATTTATTTTTTAAATGATTGCGAGTGAATGGATTACGTTGGTTTCCGGTGAACTTTACAAACTAAAAGTTGCCGTAATTGAACTCATTCCATCGTATATGAATGTATTTTGTATCGGTAAATACTGTTTTGTAATTAATTTTATTATTTCGTGAGCTGCACAACCACCTATAATAAAAATTTATTATATTAATAATTAAATATGGCGTAAAAGTTACTTATTCGTTTTATTTACTTACCGACAAATGATGAAATTGAATGAAGTTCACAACCACCGTATCTACAAATCTCATGAACGTAATCATCTTTAGACAATGGACCAGATCCCCATTCACCTAATAATTTCGCTATACATCCTTTAAGTTGTACGATATCCGGTTGCACATCATCATTACATTCACCGGGATATCTATTATATTCTCCATAAAATTTTTCAACTCCTCTTAATAAAAGATAATAGAGAAGCATGCTTCCAGGAGGTTCCAACTCTGAAACTAAAATGAATTTTTTTTGTGTAAAATTTTATATAAGAAAATTGTAAATTTTTATATCGATGTAGAATTTATACTGACCTATGCTTTGTAAACTAGTATTTTTCCCTTGATATTCATCTGTAATGCAAGTACCCCTCACTAATTGTAATTCTGAAGCATGCTTGCAAAATAATTTCGTATCAGCTTCCGATATTGTATCAGGTGATTGATTCAATTCTCGTAATAATTGTTGTACTCTTCTAAAAACTATATCGGCATCCTTAGCAGCTTGCGTATGATAACTAAAAGTGAAATATTTTTCTTAAAAATTATTGGTTATAAGATTTTTGAAACATATAATATAAATTAATAAAAAATTTTTACATTTGCTGTAGAGCAATATAACTAAATGTGTTGGCTGTCATATCAGGTAAGGATCCTCTTAATGGTAAACAGCCATTACCTTCATTTTCAATAAAATCCCTTAATGCTTTCGCCAAAACCCAAAATGGTTTACTCTAAAAAAAAACATAAAAATTTTTATTTGAATAATAAGTTTTAATGAGTAATTACTTGAAAAATTTTTAAATAAAATTTGTGAACCTTAGAGGTCAAATTGATGCAAGCATCATCGTCTAAAATTTGTTTAATACTAGAAGGAACAATTGTAGGTATCACAGCTGAATTGATACCTCTAATAGCTTCTTCAAAATTTTCTTCTACTTCAGGAACACCTTCATCATTTTTAAGAATTCCAGATCTAATCATTTCTTTAAGAGATTCCTTTTCTTTAAAATTTCTTGGAAAATCTTTTCCAGTTGATTTTTTCCAAATCTTGAATTTTTAAATATATATATATATAAACACATATTATGTAATTTATCTATACTTTGTAAATTTTCAGATAACAAATTACCTCTAAATATTTAAATAAAATAACTAGATATGGTACATGAGCATGATCTTTTAACTCCATTTCTTCAAGATTAACAGAGTTGACATATTCTATTAATGCAGGGAATGGCTTATCGAGTCTTAAATCCTGAGGCAAATTATCAGGATGTGATTCTATCACAGTATGTTCTTTAACTTGAGTTCGAATATAACCTAAAAATCCATAACTTTTACAATTTAAAAATGGGATATCTAGTTCCCATAATTTACTAGACAATTCCATTAATGTTTTTTCTTTTAACTCAGTAGCAACAATAATAGAAAAATTATTTAAAAATTCTGGATTATTTTCTAATACTTGTTCTATGTCTTCATCAATATAATCACCATGAACATCTGGATTTAGTTCAACCAAAAGCTGATTTGTTACTTCGGCCCGAGATTTCCCGCAACTGTCGGCCAACAGGAAAAAACTAAAAGAATAATTTTAGGGAAATATGAAATACTTATTATTTTCAAAATTAATTTTTTTATATTTACTATTTACTTAGACTCAATATCATCGTCGGTGACTTTTTTCCCATCTACTATTGTAAATGAACCTATTCCTGGTAAAACTAAAGATTTTAAAATTTCCGTACCCAAACAATTAGCATTTATAAGACAAACTTTTGCATTTTCCAAAGCACTTTGGCCATGGTCACCCCATAACCTAAAAAAATTTATTACACATTATTAAAAAATTTAATTCATATATGCGAAGATCAATACTTTATTGACATGAATAGTTTAAATTATATTAAATGTACCTCAACTGTCTGTCATATTTTCTGTTTTTGTCAGATTGCTCGGGTGATTTGGGTGCCGGTGACGCCATCATTTAATTTTTTAGTTGCCTCCTCTGATATAACCAAAGATCAACATAAAAAAAAATTTGGCGCGTGAAATATTTTAAGGTAAGTAAAGATTGAAAATTTTTTGTAAAACTTCAAATTTATTTATTTTTATATATAAAATTATTTTCATATTTGTATATTCTGTATTTTCTATTTATTTTGAAATATTTTGAAGTTTACAAAATAATTCTTTAATTTTTTTTGATTAACGTTGGTGTCAAACTTAACATTTGATACTCAAACTTTTATTTTATTAAATGTTCAAATAAAATTTAAAAAAAAAAATAAAAATAATAATCAAAAGTATCTATTTTAAAATTAATCTAAAATGCAAATTTAATCACCTTATTTTTCAATGATTCAGGTCATTAATAGATAACAGGTGCACTTAAAATTGGAAAATCCAATTGATAATATTAATTTGATTTATGTGTAAAAAAAATTTTTTTAAACTAAACCTTATTGAAAAAGATATTAAATGATATAATTTTTTTCTTTTTTTTTTAGGTTTATACAATTTGAAGTATTGTTTCCTTTAAGTAAATTTATTCGCAATGGTTCACAATTACATATATTTGGTATTTAAAAAAAAAAAAATCAAATTAGGTAAAAGTTTAAAAAAATATTTAATGCCTTAAAAAAAGGTGACTGAGGAGTAAAATATGTCGACTTCTATTATGTCTCTATATCAAACAACAAGCTATAGAGATAATCTTTACATACAGATCTAAATCAATCATTGAAAAAATTTTCAATATCTTTTGATAATAAATCTCGTTAAGGGAATGTTCATATAAAAAACCAACAGTCGATAGTTTTTGTGGTTTTCAGTTTCCTTACGCCGAAAAGGTAAGTATTCTTTTTTTTTTATATATATATAACAGTAGCCTGGAGGTTGACATATTAAACAACTTATTTTAATGAAGAGTCAGAAGAATTTTTAATAATTTTACAACAAGAATTGACTTTTTATGAAAATGAATTTAGGCCAAGACCAATGTCTTGGAAAACTTTAATGTAATAGGGAACAAATAATTAAAAAGTTAAAATTTCACATTATGATTTATGATTAATTTTTGAAACACGCACTAAAACTATTAAAAAATTAATTTAATGAATATTAATTTTTTTTTTTTGTTTAATTCTAGATGAGGTTCCTAGCTTTGCTTCCATTATTTTTCCTTTCTGTACTAGCTGAAAAAGCTAGATTTGACAACTACAGAGTTTACCAAGTTGTACCTGACAATGAAAATCAACTTGAAGCTTTAGTTTCCCTTGAAGGTTTAACCGAGGTATAAAATAAAACAGTAAAAAAAAAAAATTTTGTTTCAAGTACATTTTAATTTTAATTTTTTATTTAATTTTTAGTACAATTTTTGGACAGATGTTGGACAAGTACATGATCCAGTTGATGTTATGGTTCCTCCTCACAAGAGGGACCAATTTCAAGAATTTTTAGATACCTATAAATTCCGTAGTAATGTTAAAATTGAAAACGTTCAAAGGTTGGTTACAATATAATTTAAAATTAATATTTATTAGTTAAATTAAAAAAAATAATCCTTTTTAAAACTTTTCTGTACCTTTTAGTTTAATTGACTCAGAAACAAACAAAGTTGGATTGCGTTCTAACCGTATGGAATGGACAAATTACCACAAATTAGATGAAGTAAATATATTTTAAATTTAAAATATGAGTCTTTTAAAACATATAAATATAAATATAAAATATTTTAGATGTACAATTGGTTGGATGAATTGGCTGCACAACATCCAGATAAAGTAAAAGTTGTTGTTGGAGGCAAATCCTACGAAGGTAGACCAATTAAAGGAATTGAAATCACGTTTGGATCTAACTTAACAGGAGTTTTATTGGAAGCTGGTAACATATTATTAGGAATATTTTTAATATTTAAAGTTTTTTTATTGGTAGCCCCCAGCTAAATAATAATAATAATCTATATTAAGGTATTCACGCAAGAGAATGGATTTCACCTGCTGGTACAAGTTGGATGGTCAATCAAATGCTTAATGGCAAAGTTGATCCCGTATTTAAAAGATTCAATTATCTCTATTTCCCTCATCTTAATCCTGACGGTTACGTCTACAGTTGGGAAAAAGTAAGAAATAATGATAATTTTCATTGTATTAAGACTTTAAAACATTTTTTTTTTTATTCTTATATTAATTTTAAATAATAATTAGAACAGATTATGGAGAAAAACCAGAACCCCATACAAACTTGGTAAAGCAGTTTGTTTTGGAGCTGATCCAAACAGGAACTGGGACTTCCACTGGAATGGTATTATTATTATTATTATTATTATTATAATTCAATAATTTTTATTTTATACTTTGAAAAATGGGTATGATAAAAAAAAATTAAATTTTTTTAGAAATCGGTAGTTCTGACAATCCATGCTCTGAAACTTATGCTGGACCAAAAGCTTTTTCAGAAGTTGAAAGTAAAACATTTTCCGACTACTTAAAAACTGTTGCCGAAGAGAAAAACCTTAAAGTTTTCGTTGCTTACCACAGTTACTCTCAACTTCTTTTGTACCCATGGGGCTACACAACGAAACCATCAAAAGACGAAGCACTTTTTGTACGTTAACCTTTCTTACATTAAAAAAAATATGGTTTATTTTTATTAATATTAACTCAATAATTAATTACAGAACAGAGTGGCTAAAAAAGCAGTAGATTCATTGGAAGCTGTACACGGAAAGAAATTTAAATATGGAAACATTGCCACAACAATTTGTAAGTTTTCATTTTTTAACAGGTTAAATAACAAAAAAAAAAAAAAAATGGTTACATAATTATTAATTGTTGATATCAGATCCTACAAGTGGAACAACACTTGAATGGTACTACAACGAATTCAATGCTACCTTGTCCTACGTTTACGAAATGAGAGACACTGGAAAACATGGATTTTTGTTACCAGCTGAACAAATTCTTCCAGCTGCCGAAGAACATTTGGCTTCATTAACCACACTTTTATCAGAATACGAAAAATTAAACCATTAATTCTTTAAAAGTTAATAAAAATATTTTGTACAATTTTATTTTATATAAATAAATCCACGTAATTAACGCACAATATTATTATTATTATTATTATGTAAAATTTATGCCATGACCTAACATTACCCTTCGAGACCATAAATCACATAACCTTTTCAATTAATGTAATGTTTAAAAAAAAAAATTTTTCCAGGATAAAAAAAATGGACAATTTGTACAATTAAAAGATTAAAAAAAAAAACCAAAGTTTTTACAAGTTTTTTTTTATATAATTATTATAATTAGATACCAACAAAATCACAAATTAATTAAAAAAAAATTTTAACCAATCTCTTAATATGATTTTACTGCTTTTAAATACTTCATCGACAAAAAAAAAAAAATAAATAAATAAAATGAATGAAAAAACAATCGAGCTTTCAATTCGAATACAATACAATAAAATAAATTAAATATTACTTTTTTAAAAAAAAAAAAAATAATAATAATAATAATGATTAAAATGAATTACAACTACATTTAATTGTTTCTTTGTCTTAAAACCTATAAAAACTATGCATGTTATTAATTGCACTTTTATTTTTAGAAAAAAAAAAAAAAAGTAAAAATAATTTAAATATATATAAATATATATATATATATATTATTAGTAATTTACATGGAATTTTATAAAAATTAAAAACAATAATCAATGATTAAAGATTGTTACATGTTTATATTAAGAATTCAAATGTACACAAAACCACATTAATTCCATAATGTTTTATCACATGATGATTACAAAACACAAAAAAAAAAAAAAAAGAAATTAATTAAAGACGAGAAACAAAAATTGTCAGCTAGGAAAGTAGTGAAATTCTCTGAAAATGTCTATTGCGTTCAAATACATGATTTAAATTAAATAATTTAAAGAAATGTAAATCATGCCCCCCCCCTTTAAATATTCGCTCGTAAAAATGGGGGGAAAATTTATTATTATTATTAATTATTATTAGTATTAATATTAGTATTATTATAATTATTATTATTAATATTAATGTTTTTTTTTTTTTTTTTTTATTTAGAAAAATTGAAAACTCTTTGACAGTAAAAATTCGTTAAGTTTATAATTATTGTTCAAAAATAATTTTAAATGAGAAAAATGTCTCTATATGTGTGTGTGTGTGTGTGTGTGTGTGTTCAAACCCAATGATTACTATCAAAATTTTCAGTAAAAAATATAGTAAGAAATTGAGCTAAATTTTTTTTTTTTCCTAGACAAAAAAAAGTTGAGAAAATTTAAAAAGGTGTTAGCTTTAAAAACCGTGAACCTTTAGTTGATCAGGCTTGGCCAATCCTGATTTGGTTAGCCACTGGCAGATGTTTTCTCGTTGATCACCCTGAAGTTGAAGAACTTCTCCGTATTCTGGGTGTTCAATCACAGTGCCATTGCAGGCAAATTCCTTCAAATAAAATTTTTTAAATTGAAAAAAAAAAATTCTTTTTTGTTATGGTAAACTGGAAAATTAATAATAAAAAACTAATTTACTCACTTTTTTACATGCTCGCACAATTTTCTTCAGGTCATATTCAGATGATAATCCCTGCACTGTTGTTAATGTTTTACGACCATTCCGTTGTTGAATTCTTATATGAACAAGACCGTCCTGAACATCGTCATCTGCACCCTTAATTGCATCTGCAAAGGGGTCTGAAAAAAAATTTCAATTACATGCATTATTACACTGTATTGCTTTTTCTATACCAACATTTAATTTTAATAGATGAGAAAAATTTAAATAAATGCTTGTCAAATATTAACCTTAATATTAATTAATTAAAACGAAAGGACAAAAAAAAATATATAAAAAAATTAACATTGATATTTTGAACAAAGAAGTTCAGTTGCGTCATTAATGTATTACTCATATAGGCCTCAAGATTCACAAAAAAGATACAAATTTTCTTTGTGCTAATAAGAAGACTAATAATATAAATATATATACTTACATTAATAGAACCGAAAATAACACATTACAAATTACACTTTTTTTTGGTAAAATAAAAAAGCTTAAATAAAAAATAATTACAAAAAAATAATAGACCTTCTATGTAAAGTAGGTCATCAATTTAAATTTTTCTTACAATTAATTTATATTTATTATTAAGTTTTAAACGTAAAAAAAATGTAAAATTTATTAAACATGATTATTATTAATATAATAAATTCCACTTTCAAAACAGAAACTGTTTAAAGAAGTTTATAAATATGAACGCCATTTTAGACCGTATTTACATTACAAAAAAAAATAAATAAATAAATAATGAATCTTACCAAATGTGTTAAGGTTCTGGATGGACATACGATAAACAGAAAATATAACTTTGCAATAGACACTTGCTAAATGCAAAAAAATTGCACGGTTTTAAAGGATTGTTAAAGATAAAAAGGAATTTGAAGTGTACACTCAAAACCGATTTTGACGTAATAATGACTAAACTAGCGGAAGTTGTATATGAGTAGTATCGCAAAATATCGTTCGAGTTATCGAAAGTCCAAGTTCAATTAATCGAATTATTATTATTATCAAAAGTGAAATATTCAACCGTAAAAACGTTTTAAACCCGATTGTACGAGAGATTTATTCACTCCGTTTTCAACCCAAACGCAAGTTACTCCTAACGATCGAATATCAGTAATATTACGATGTTCATCATCGAAAAACAACATGTTTTTATAATCAATTCCAGATTTTTCGTGAAATTTACTAAAATGTGTTTTCTTGCATCCCGGATAAATTTCTTTGTACGAAAAAAATTTGTCCCAGTCAAATAAACGTATTAACTGATTTGCACCCTCGGTTTCTGCGGTTCGAGAAGCTATTGCTAATTTATAACCAGACGAATGTAATTCCTGAAGAACTGCCGGAACTTCTTTATAGTATTGTACACTTCTATGACGACTGTCTACTACTTCACCGTGACTAAAAATTTTAAAAAAAAATCACAAATTTTACATTAATGATTCGGTATGTAAATTTAATAAACGGTTAATATTTTAAAAAATAAGTAATAAAACCTGTTAACCTATAAAAAAATCTATTTGAAATTACGTAATAATATACTACTTACTTTGATCGTCTAAAAGGTGGAGTAAAATGACAGTCGACATAAAATGGCCAGAGAGTGTAGTCTAAATCGAAAACAATTAGTTTTGGTTTACTTGCCATTTACAATTAATAAATGACACAATAAAAATTAAAAAAAAAAAGAAAAAAAAATGCTTGACAAGACTAGTTGTTAAAATGTTGTGAAGCTCAATTCTGACTGATTTTTATTTACTCTATGGTATCAAGTTGTAAATTTCGCAAATAAATTATCATTTCGTCAGCAAATGTTTTAAAAATAGTAGCACCGATGAAATTTTTTTTAACCTTATAAGTTTATTAGTAAAGTTTACTAATATATATTCAAAATTTATAAAATATAATTTAACTATCGCATTTTTACAATTGACATTTTTAAAATTTTCATTTCTACAATTGTATTCAACCATCATTTATTATTTTACCATTTAAATTTTAAATAAATTCGCAATTGATTTTCCTTATTATTTTTCGGAAATACAAATTAAAATCTTTTATAATTAAATTATTATCTTTTACAAGATATTTTTTTTAAAAACTAGTAAAATTCTGTCAAATATAAATGTCTACATATTGCATAAAATATAAACTTGTTTTTGGCGGTTTTTTTCGAAATTTGTTTTTGAATAAAAAAAGTTGATTGAAATCGTAAATTCTATATTTCTCATTTGAATTTTACATTTATAAGTTTATTTTAAAATTTCAACAATAGTTTTTTCTTTTAATTTTTTTTCTTCAAAGTATCTTTAGTTACCTCGATTTTGGAAATCTTGGTTTTTCCCATAATGTTTGTGAATATTGGCTATCCTGTCAAAAACAATTATAAAATTTTCTATTCCAGGCCAAATATCAAAGAATTTAAAAAAATATTTAAAAAAAAAAAGTTATTCCTGTAAGATTTATTAATTTATTAAAAAGAAAGAATTTGGTAAATATTTTTCGTTTTATTTAGGTATGCATATCCTTTATAATAAAATAATTTTATTGCGTATGTTACGTATTTTAAAGGTTCAGTCAATGTCAAGGCCTTCAAGTTCAATAATTTAATTATAAAGCGATAAAATATTTAATTTACATTATCACGATGAATTTTGAAGGCAGTTTGGAGCAATTTTCATTAAGATGGAATAATTTTAACGATAACATGAAAATTGGTTTTCATGACTTATTGAGAACTGAAGATTTTGTTGACGTTACATTAGCAGTTGAAGGAAAATTAATTCAAGCTCATAAAATGGTTTTATCCGTGTGTAGTCCTTATTTTAAAAAAATATTTAAAGGAAATCCTTGCCATCATCCAGTTGTATTTTTAAAAGATGTAACGCACAAAGAACTTACAGATATTTTACAATTTATGTATTTGGGGGAAGTTAGAATTCAACAAGAAGAGTTAGGGAAGTTTTTAAAAGTTGCCAAAACATTACAAATTAAAGGTTTGACAGATGAAAATACTCAGTCTAGCAATAATGAAAATGTATTACAAACATCCTGTCAAAATGATTATGATGAATGTATAAACAAAACCAAATTAAATAATTATGATGTACTAGAAAATGAAATTTGCTCAAAAAAAATGAAATTTAGTACAATTGATAATTCGGATAAAAGTACCCTTCGAAAAATTCAAGAACAAGATGAGTCGAAAAATAGTCAAAATGAAATACCACATATTTTTCCTAAGACTGAACCAAATGAAGATGATAATGAAAGTGATCAGCTTTCATGTGAAGAAGATAGTATTAATGCAAATGAATCCTCTGTGCAACTAAATGACATTTCTTCTGTAATTAAAGACGATATTGATCAATCAAATGCTGGCCATTTGTTTTCTGGTAAGTTTTTTTTTTATATTTAAAAAAAACATATATATATTTAATTATTATTACTTAATATTAATTAAACTTGTATTTTAGGAAATGATAAAATTACTTCAAATGAATTGCAAAGCTTTAAGTGTGATTCGTTTCTTTTTAAGGAGGGTAATCAAGGTATTATATGTATTTACACTTATTAATTTTTTTAAAAACTAAATTAGAAAATTGGTAATTTTATTTATTTGTGTCCCTTTCATAATTATTATTAATTTAAATCAAAGGCCTTTAAATAAATTACCAAACAGTTACAATTTTATTTCTTTAAATGAAAATATTAAACGAAACATATTTTGAAAATTTCATTCAATTAATAAAAATATCATTATTTAAGACATACAATCATTTTATGTAGACAAATAATATTTTTGTATAAATTTAAAGCCCATTTAATGAAATTTTTAATTTAAATAGGGTGCTAAAGGGGGTTTATTTTAAATTAATAATTTGCATGAATTAAAGGTGGATTTTTGGTTTTTTGCAAGTGATTCGGTGTAAAGTGCATATAAATTAATCTGGGTGTGGAGCTTAAGGTGGGTTTCATTATACATTTTATATTAAGTGGTAAGTACAATATTTTTTTCAAATGACAAATTACAAAAGCATGTAAATTTTGGAATATTAAATTATGTTTTCAAAAATTTGCTTTCTTAATTAGCTTTCTCGAAAACTTAAATTTTTACTTTCGTTTTGTTTTTTTTTTTCTCATTTAACAAATAGCATGATTTAGTATCAGATAAATTTTATATTACTAATAATTATCATTTTATCTTAAACTAAAATCCTTTTATAATAAAATTTTCTAAATCTATACTAATAAATAAAATGAATTTTTTAACTTTAAATTCATCGTCTTTTTATTTAATACTTTTTCGATATTACTTTCTTATTATTAGATAGACAATTTTTCTTTTGTTTTTAAATAATTTATTTAATAATTAAATAAAATAATTTTTTTTATGTATGATTGTTTGCTTGATTGATGATTAAAATAAAAATAATCAATTAATTAATCACGTCAATTATAATTTTAATATTTCAGATATTCGATTTGTTATGTCACCCAGGATGAAACCTTGTTTGGTGTTTAACAATTATATTTACATAAAAGATCACGTTGGTTTAGCATCTCCTGGACAAGTGAAAACTATTTACTGGAGGTGTAAAGATGTCAGTTGTAAAGCAAGATGCATACAGAGTGATTCAACATTTAAATTAAAAAAAAATACACATCATCAACATGAACCAAATGTCGATTTGAATTATTGTCCAATTCAGTTTAAAAATATTAATGATTTAATGAATTCTTTAACTTGATACCTAATAGATTTTCATTCATTTTTTTTTCTTACATGATAAAAAAAAAAACAATTTTTTTTAAACAAATAAATAATTTATTAGGAATTTTTTTACAAAAATAAAAATCTACTAATTTTTTTTTTTTTTTTTTTATTAAACTATTTGACAAATTTTGATCTCTTACATATTTATTTGATTTTATAACTAAAAATAATAATTTCATATTTATTTTATATTTATAACTTATTGTATTGTATTATAAATTATGTATTATTAAAATTGACATTAATTTAAACTTTATTTATTTTATTATGAAAAAAAAAAAAAATAATATTTTTTATATAAGTATAAAAATTGTTTAAATAATATTATTTAAAAGCGATTTGAATTCAATTTTTTTTCTTTTTTTTTCTACAATTTCAGGTTTACAGTATTTTCAACTGACAAAAAATCAAGGTTTATGTCCCGTTTGTGGAAGAATTCTTCAGCATAAAAAAAATTTACAAACTCATATAGCTGATCAACATTCTGGATTGTTTAAATCTTGGTCTTGTCAAATATGTAATAAAATATGCAAAACCTGGAGTGCGTTGAGGGTTCACACAAATAGGCATCATTCGAAAAATTCATCATCATCTTCAATGGTTCATTCTCTTGCACTTGCTTCTCATTAATTATTTATTAAATTTTGTTAATTTATTATTAATTTAAATAAGAGACTTACTTAAATGTAGAATTCAAGATGATGTTTGTTTTTAGTTTATAAATATTTTAAAATATAATAATTTGGGCCTTCATACATATAAATTTAAAAAGAAAATATTTATTATTAAATTGTTATGTTTTATATTATTTATTTATTTTTTTCTATTATGAAGTTAACTGTTATTTAGAAAGTTGTTAATAGAAATTATCATGTACCTTTTAATGAGAGAGAGAGAGAGAGAGAGTGAGACAAAGGTAATTTATTAAAAATATAAAAATTGTTTTTGTTTTTAAATAAATAAATTTTAAATATAAATATATATTATTATATTCATTTTGAAATTCATTATATATAAAAAAAAAAAATTTTTTTCAACTATTTATTATATAAAAACTAATGTAACCTATGTAATTGGTATTGATAAGTCAGTTTTTTTATCACACACACGCAATAAATTTAACTAATTAAATTTTCATAAAATTACATAAAATTATTACTTTTATTATTATTATTTATAAATTTATTATAAGACGGCATAAACTTTTATTACTTTTATTATTTTGCAGGTAACACTATTTTTTTAGCACTAAATATTTTTTTTTTATTCAAAAGTTAAACAAAATAAAATTTATCAAACGTCACTCAATAAAAAAAAACATACATAAAAATTTTTATTTATTTATTTTTTTTTTTTTCCGAAAAATTATCTATTTATTTACCTAATTAAAAACAAAAACTAAATAAAAACCAAACAAATAAAATTTTAATCAATTAATCAATACTTTATTTATTTTGGTCAAAAATTGATAATATTAATAATAATAATATTAATTAAAAAAAAAAAAAAATGGCTTTATTAAATACTGATGGAAAGTAACAATTTTTTTTTTTTTTTTTTCGTTTACAATTATTATAAATAAAATAAAAATTAAATATAGCTGTCATTTATAAACTAATATCATTCTATTTTATAATAATATTAAATTATGTAATTATTAATTAATAAAAGTAGCCAAATACGTTAAAATAATAACAAAATAAAAAAAATAAATAAATAAATTAACAATTAT